ATCTGTCTTCTTAATTCTTGTTCTTTTATTGTCTTTCCTGCTTCGTAGTATATTTTTCTCAAACAAATTGCGTCTTAGTGGCTTCATTACCTTGCTTGAAATGAAATGATTAAAAAGAAAATGTGCTTCAATGGTGCGGAGCTGCTACTAGATTTTCGAACATCGAAGTCTGGTCAGTAATTAAATGGGGGACCGCTTGATACCACCGGGTACTCTAAGGATCTTTCTACAATTCGAAATCCGTTTTAGTTTTAAATAACCGAGAAAGGGTTGATAAGTCGTAAAAGATAATCAAACAGAGAATTTCTAACTGAACCATTTATTTAATCTACGGGGGTAAACTGTTTCCGTTCTGCTTATACATAATGGATTAAAGCAATGGTCCATGAATATGGCAACATAGCAACTGTGAGTTCGATCCTTTACCCGGGTAGTGCAGACTAAGACGAAATCCGACGAGCAATAACTGAGCAAATCCTAATATAATAAATTCGAAAAAAAAAAAAAAAAAACAATCCCTGAACATAGACAAATGAAAGAGAATAGAATAAAATTTCAGTTCCAAATTACATGAAAGGTCTCCGATTCAACAAGCATCTGATGAAAACCGGAGAGTATAATGGTCGAAACGTTGGCTTAGTATTGCTTCATTTCGACTCTACCTAACGCCATTTTTAAGGGGGTGTATGTGTTATTATGTCGGAATATCGCACTCGAATGAAATGATGGAAACAAAAATCGCTCTTCCTTGTAGCGCTCACCGGGATGGCAAATCACTTGTTTTCTCTTTCAGCAAGTTTGAACTTCCCTTTCCTACAAGTTTGATTTGTCAAATTCCTAAATCATAGCCCCCAGTCCACACTCATCTCAGACCAAAATATTTAGATTGAGCCTGATCGAAGAAAAATGCGAATGTTGCCTTACTGCCAAGCGCTTTCAGGTGTCGTGCTCAATTAAATTTTCAAATTACAACTGATAACCTGTTTAATGAACGTCAGAATATATCGCTACTGATTAACACAGGGGTTCCCAAACGATGCGGCGCGCCTCATAGGTGCAGCGGAAGAGGATAGCAGGTGAGGCGGAATGAGTGAAACGCCATCAAAGATTTAGAAACATTACCAAAAATTCCAGAATATAGTAACTAGGGTCCGCAAATTGGAAGAGAGAGTTATCAATGATAATGTTCTGACTTCAAATCCTTTTAATGCTCTCTCTATTTTTAATTTCTTGGGTGGGTTGAGCTGACTCAATTAGTGGTATTTCATGGGAATTTGGAATTCACAAGCGGTCCCCAAACCCGCATGTATAGCACATGAGATTTGATTATAGTGGTGAAGGTTTCGTGCAGAACCATCCACACTTTTTGAAGGGCTGATTACAGAGACCTGGTCACTACGTGCCACAAAGTCCCCAAACGACCGTCCGCAGGTTTTGAATTCAGAGTTTTTCCTTCTCCTAGACCAATTGCCATCCAAGACTATAGAACCCAGTCTGTCCTGCTATTTACCCATAGCTGGAGGGAGAAGAAGAGGATTCACACCTTTCTCAAGGGTATTAGTACGTAAGTGAATGTAATGGATTCGACTGGAATTCGAACTCTGCTCTCCGATTTCTCAATCCAAGCCGCTATCCACCGTGCCTCCTAATTTTAATTTACCTTTTATCATATAAAATTTGGTGATGTTCAAGCAAATTTTAATTCCGAAAATTCGGCCAAGAGAAAAAAAAAACGTTTGGGTATCACCGGATTAACGGATGCAGTATCTATGAATAGTTCGGCACATCAAGTTATGTATTACTATGAAGATCATTTAATATAAGTAAAGTTTATTATATGAATAAACATCGAATAATGACGAAAGTTTATCTCAGGACTTCAGGCTACATTAAGAAGGCTGGAGAAGTCAACGGCCCAAATCTAACGAGGGAAATAAAAACAGATGAAGATACTACACACTTGTGCAAATTAATTGAAACAACCGCTTTAGTTTCTTTTCTTTTACCATACGGTCAGTTTTAGACCCACTGGAATGACAGGGTATATTAGATTTTTATTTTTTTCCTCAGATTAGGTCATTTGCAGTGGTGTGCAGTAATATTAATCTATTTTTCGGTGTGTATGATGAAATTTGTTTGAGGTTGAAAGATATTGTGTCATCCGTGATTGCATCAGGTTTTCATCACGCTCAGGCACTATTGTCTCGACTGTCGATTAGTTGTCTGTTGTAGAGTAGTTTTCACAGTAGAAGCTTGTATTTCACTAAGTCGGTCCTAAATTAGGTCCGACGTACAAAACATTAGGAACTTGAAATAATAGTTAATGACGCAGCAATCTAGTTGTGGGGCTCATACTTTAATGCCCGACATCGACTGACTCACACAACTCACTGAGCTTCACTGGCGACTGCTACTACTACTACTTATCTGTGGGAGAGTCTATTTACAATAGAAATAGGTACGTTCCGATATAACATTGTCCTACGGCCATTGTCTGAGATGGACGTTACTCCAAGCAAGCGTACGAAAATTTTAACGTTGCACGAACACAGTGGCAATCCTTAACAGTGAGCAAATCAAAGTACTATAGACTCGCCCGGAAACTCTCCTGATTTAAATCTAATCGAGAGTCTGTGCAAGGTACGACTTTGTGGAATAAACATACGAAGTACTAATATGTGCACTGGTTCATGTTTCATTGGAAAAATACGAAAAAAGTAAATAATAATGGAATTATTCGTTTTGTTTCAATTAATTTGCACATGGGTGTAGTTTGATTGATACGTCGAATCGTACAGTTTTCTTTCATTTTCGTGTTCTTTATCGCAAAACTTTTTTTTTTGCAGAGCCTTCGTCGGCTTTATTCAGCGATGGATTAAATTTCCTTTCATCTATATTTACATTGCGTTAGCGTCAGTTTTTGGATTGATGTGCATCCTCATCATTTTCGCTGAATCCTACACTATTCTTTTTATCATCTGCATCATCTTGTCTCTTTCCAATGGTGCCCCATCAGGGCTGTATCTAATTGGCATTCTAGAATGTGTGGGACCAGAAAAATACAGTACCGCTGCGTCCGTCATCGAAACCTCATATGGCATAGGCATCGGTATTTTTGGTTACATAGCCGGTTAGTACAGACTATTTTATTACTACAATAGTTCTTTTATCCATAAATATTTTTATACTAATTCTATTATTAATTGGAGGCCGTATACAGAAGTTCTGATGTATACATCTTGTCAAGCTCTTGGTCGACAAAAATAGTCATTATCATAATTTACAACCGTTTTTTTTTCTTTTTTTTTTTAAAAGCATTTCCCCCTAAAGAATGCGGGCGTGCCACTAGTACGCAAGGGGGTTACAGAAAGTGGGAGCAAAAAGAGGCGGTGATAGAGGAAAAGATGAAGAGAAGGGCAGGGAATTATATCAAGGCATCTGGAGATGTCGATTGACATTGCATTTGAATATATCTAGATTATAAGTAAGAGGGAGTTCCAACGACGGGAAGTGCGAGATATGAAGCTATTTCGACAGTGAAAGGGCGGGACTGAGATGCTAACCTAGTAGCATGTTTAAATTCGGAGCAGTTACCATCGAACTCGGTCAGTACATAAATGCGGGACCAGTTGGGAAGACGGTATAGTGTAATCGACTTCCGTCAATTCGAAATAGGCTTCAATTTTAAATGACTTAAAGGGCTGATAATCCGTAAAAGAAAACACAGCAATTATTCAGGTTTGGTTTGGTTTGTTTTGTTTTACGGCATATCAACACCTCAATGGGTCATTTAATACCGACAACTTTTTTTTTTTTCTGCTAATATTTTGTTTTGTCAAAAGTCCATTTCTGTTAATATTTTTTTAAAAAAATGTATAGCTGGTAATATTATTTTTTCAAAAACGTACAGCTGGCAACATTATCTTTTTCAAAAACGTATTATCAGTGGCCTTGCTGTTGGACGTAGTTTATCGTCTTACCCAGGACTCGGATGTAGTTTATCATCATAACCAAGACGCGGATGTAATCTGAGTGTTAACTATTTGCCCATAGCTGGGACCCCAACAGGTGCCACCACGCCGAGCCAGGGTGGACCTAGAAACACCAGCAATTAAGAGGTGGTTCCACACTCCTGATCAGAGGCCCCGCTTTTGGACGTAGTTCATCGTCTTAACCATGACGCGGATGCAGTTTATCAAGGAATTTATAACTAAACACTTTATTTAATCTACGGGTGTAGACTGGTCTCGTTCATTTGTCTAAGGCTAGTGGATTAAAACGTTGGTTTGTGAATTTAGTGGCGTAGCAATTGTGAATTCAATCTCTTGACCGGGTCGTGCACGCTTATACTCAGCAGAAACACGGCAAGCAGTAGCTGAACAGTAACAAATAAGAATTAGACAAAATATCACTACGCATGGATTGCAGAAAGTGAACAATGTACCCACATAAAATAGATTAAGGGTTTACTCAGTTCACAGTTGAACTGGCAAGATATAGCCGTAAGTTCTATGGTGACAGTTTCTTCTCGTTTGTGGAACTCTCTTCCGGCTTCTTGCTTTCCAGCCAACTTTGATCTTCGAAAATTTAAATGTAATGTCAATCGCTATCTGCAGTCTTGATTACTTTTCTCGTTCGCTAATATTTTTTGATCTTCCACACTCAGTAACCCTTTGTGTCTTAGTGGTTTTACTGTCTTGCATGGAGTGTTATGATAAAAAAGATGGAAATTTCATGAAAGGTACTCGGATAAACAAAAACCTGATGAAAGCCGAAGGGTGAAGTGATCGAAACGTTGTGATAATAACAGCAAAGACGAGGACAATAGTCCGAGTAGAATAATGTTAATAATGATAGAACCTCATCCCACAAAATAGTCTGACACATCGCGTAGTATTGCTCCATTAGGTGAAAACATGATGGCGTGATAGAAATATTCAGAGTTAGAACGTTCCGGTAGTAGATTTATATAAAATTGTTAGAGTTGGAATTAGGCGTAGTTAGGGAGTTGCGAGATGCGTCATGATGTAGAGGCAGAATTTTGTAGGGGGAAGAGAGAGAGAGAAAGAGAGACAGAGAGAGAGAGAGAGAGAGAGAGAGAGAGAGAAAGAGAGACAGTATGTACGCGCTGGGCGAAGTGAAGATAATGTCTGTTATTTTGACAAGACAAAGCTAACAGCGAAGGGATTATATTTTTCCAGTTTGCAAAAGACTTTGAACCCAGGGGGATGCTTACAAGTTTCTTTATGAAATAATGCGAGAAATCGTAAGTGTAGCCATCTACTAAGCTTAGACGCAAGATAATGCTAGTTGGGTCACCCACTTATTATTATTATCGAGTCACTACACCACACCCATCCAGTGTTGTACATAGAGCCTTGACTAGGATGTGAAAGTTTCAAGGTGGTTAAGTGTGCTTGAATCTAGAAGATGACCCATAATTTGTAATTTCATGCATTGGCAGCTGGATCGATTCCAATGATATATCCTCATTTTTGAAGGTTGGCTCTACAGCTGTCGGAAGCGATTCAGGCAGAACCATCGCTGGAGCCAGTGGATTCTCTACGGGTGGACTCCTTCTGATGTAAGAGGGATCGATGCCACAAAGGAAGCAGAGATCATTGACTTTGGATGGCTTGAGCCCCTCCCCTGATTAATCTGCAAGACCTGTTTAAGGCAGTCTCGATTTTCTCTACATGCGATGATCTGCCCAACACTGGTGAGGAATATTATGCTGTGGAGTAGCAAAGGGCAAGGGGTGCGGTGCGGGTTGTACCGGCATGGACATCTCATTTGGGTTTAGCCAGTTTCTTTAGGACCTTGTTTCTTGATCCAACCATAGCTTTAGTCTTTGCAATGTGGTCCTTGTACGTAAGAGTCTGATCCAGAATGACTCCAAGTTTGACAGGCTTGGAAGTGTATTCTAACCGTTTTCCATGCCAATTCTTGGGATTGAGTTGCTGGTTAGATTCCCTGTTCTGTAGGTGGATGGCACTAATTTGGACACCCACTGAGGTAGAACTGTTTTATAGAACTATCTGTGTGACTATAAATTTCCAAAGATTTGAGTAGGTAGCAGGAACTAGCGAAGATAGAACAAGTCAGTCTGAAACTGTAGTTTTGTTTTAGACTTAGATTTCGTAACATGAACGAATTACATAAGTATCATACTTCTGGGGGCGATCCTAAGTATTTCAAAATATTTAGCTTTGATCATAACAGGGCCGTAATATCCGGTCATTCAATAAAGATTAAACAGGAACTAATTTTTCGGATTACTTTTCAGCCTCCGATCTATGGTTGGATAATAGTTGTCTCTAAATGTCTAAGCTCTCCTATGTGCGTAGATCCGTTTATTAACCAATTTAAAAATGATCAGATAAATTTAAACTGATTTCTCTCGATTTATTTTCAGGTCTATTGGTTGAGTATATGGATTCTTATCAACAGATATTCTGTATATACGGAGTGTTCATCATAACGTCCAACCTTTGTCTGCTGATCACAGCCCTTGTTCAAAATAAGCGAGGCAAACAAGAGATCTTATAATTCTGGGAGCAACAAAAGTTGTTTTTCTTTTCCCCAGGCTCAATTCAAAAGTTAAACAGCGAACCAAATTTAAGAGTAAAGAAAGATTTTCATTTGAAGAAAGACATAAATTTACCAAAATTCGAACTTAAGGAATCTGTGAAAATATTATTTTTGAAAAGACATTAATTCCATTATCTGTTAATTAAAATATTTCTTTTTTAAGATCTGTGTTTTAATTCTATTTCTTCCCAGATCTCCCGAAAAATTTTTTGTTGCTTATTGAATCGATTTTCTTGTGTAAGATTTCTTCTTTGGTTTCTTCATATATATATATATATATATATATATATATATATATATATATATATATATATATATATATATATATATTTCCATGTTATTTACATCAACAGTTATTTCAGTTCTTTGAAAAGGACGGAAACTGAAATCCGAAGGCTAAATTGGAATAGCGAAAGATGCTTTCCAAAAGGTAAGTAAAGTATTAAGAAAGAGGAATACTTCGTTAGGAACAAAGAAAAAAATACTGAACTGCTATGGAATTATAACACTTTGAAATTCGAAAATGTAATTGGAATAGCGAATTTGCCCTCCAAAAGCTAAATAAAGTATTAAAAAGAAGTGAATTTGTTTAAGAAAAAAAAATATTGAACTGCTTTGTAATTATAACATATTGAAATACGAAGACGTAATTGGAATATGGAATATTTGCCTTCCAAAAGCTAAGTAAATATAAAAAGAAAAATTTCTTTAAAAAGAAAGAAAAAATAATGAATTGCTGTGTAATTATACCATTTTGAAATCCGAAGGCGTCAATGGAATAGCGGTAGATGCCTTCCAAAAGTTAAGTAAAGTATTAAAAAAGAAGAAAATTTCTTTAATAAAAAATAAAAAATACTGAACTGCTATGTAATTATAAACCTTTGAAATCCGAAGACGTTATTGGAAAACCGAAATTTGCCATCCAAAAACTAAGTATTAAATAATCATTTGTTTAAGAACAAAGTAAACATGAATTGATTTGAAATTATAAACCCTTAAAATCTGCAGACTTAACTGGAATAGGGAAAGTTGGCTTCAAAAAGCTAAGTAAATATTAAAAAAAGAGAAAAATTTCTTTAACAACAAAGAAAAAAAAAATGAACTGCTATGTAATTATAAACTCTTTGATATCCGAAGACGTAATTTGAATTGCGAAAGTTGCCTTCCAAAACCTAAGTAAAGTACTAAAAAAGAGGAAATTTCATTAAGAACAAAGAAAAATTACTGAACTGCTATATAATTTTAACATTTTGAAATCCGACGACTTAATTGGAATAGCGAATTTGCCTTCCAAAAGCTAAGTAAAGTTTTAAAAAAGAGGAAAATTTCTTGTAGAACAAAAGCATACTGAACAGCATTGAAATTATAACCCTTTGAATTTTGCAGGCGTAAATGGAATAGCGAAAGTTACCTTCCAAATGTTAAGTGAAAGACAATTTCTTCAAGAAAAATGAAAAATACTGAATTAATTTGAAAGTATAAAACTTTGAAATCCGCAGACGTAATTGGAATAGCGGAAGTTGGCTTGAAAAAGCTAAATATTAAAAAGAGGAAAATTTCTTTAAGAACATATATACTGAACTGCTATGAAATCCGATGGCGTAATTGCTATAGCAAAATTTGCCATCAAAAATTTAAGTAAAGTAATGAAAAAAGCGTAAAATTTCTTTAAGAACAAAGAAAAATACTGAATTGCTAAATAATTGTAAATCCTTTGAAGTCCGTCGACATAATTTGAATTGCGAAATTTGCCTCTCAAAAGCTAAGTAAAGTATTAAAAAAGAGGGAAATTTCTTTAAGCACAAAGAAAAAATACTAAACACCTATGTAATTACAATCGTTTGAAATCCGATGACGTAAATGCATTAGCGAAAAATGCCTTCCCAAAGCTCAGGAATATATTAAGAAATATGAAAATTTCGTTAAAAACAAGAAGGAAAAATACTTAATTGCTATTGAACTCTGAAGGCGTAATTGGAATAACGAAAGATGCCTTGCTAAAGCTAAATAAAGTATTAAGAAAGAGGAAAATTTCGTTATAAACAATCAAAAATACTGAATTGTTATATAAGTCAAAGTAGATTGATTGATTGGTTTTTACGGCTTATCAAGCCTTTGCAGGTTATTTAGAGCAAGAAAATATTTTTAGATTGTAAGAATTTTTTTGAAAACAATAATGGCTTGATGATAACGTCTTACTAATTAACCCATAGCTGGGGGAGAAGCAAGGGTATTTGCGCGTAAGTGAATATAACGAGGTAACATGGAATTGGAACTCGCCTCTAAAAATAGATGAAAATTTGTTTAAGAATAAAGAAATATATTGAACTGCTATGTAATTATAACTCTTTGAAATCCGAAGACGTCATTGGAATAGCAAAAGAGGATAGTTTCATTAAGAAGAAAAAAACACTACTGGACTGCTATGTAATTTTTACCCTTTGATGTAATTGGACAAGCGAAAGTTGCCTTCCAAAAGCTAAGTAAAGTATTAAAATCGAGGAAAATTTCTTGAAGGAGAAAGATAAAAATAATGAATTACTATGTAATTATAACGCTTTCAAATCCGCAGGCGTAATTGGAAAAGCGAAAGTTGGCATCCAAAAGCCAAGTAAGATATTGAAAATGCGGAAAAGTTAAATACTGAACTATTATAAACCCCTTGAAATCCGAAGACGTAATTTGAATTGCGAAAGATGCCCTCCAAAAGCTAAGTAAAATATCAAAAAAGAGGACATCTTCTTTAAGAACAAAGTAAAATATACTGAACTGCTATATAATTATAACTCTTTGAAATACGATGGCGTAATTGGAATAGCGAAAGTTGCCTTGCTTAAGCTAAGCAAAGTATTAAGAAATAGGAAATCTTCGTTATAAAGAAAGAAAAATATATTGAACAGCTATGTAATTATCACCCTTTGAAATCCGATGGCCTAATTGGAATAGCGAAAGTGCCTTGCTAAAGCTAAGATAGAAATATAAAAAGATAAATAGAGAAGGAGAGAAAAATAGAAGGAGAAAATGATAAAGAGCGAGAAAGGGAGGAAGAAAGTGAGAGTCGGCGAGAGAAATTGAGAAAGAGATAAAGAGAAAGAGAGCGACAGAGATAAAGGGAGAGAAAGAGTGAGAAATATAGAGAGAAAGAAATAGAGAAAAATCAGAGAAAGAATGAGATAAAGAGAGAGAAAGAGATAGATAGAAAGATAGAAAAAGAGAACGACAGAGCGAAAGCGAGAAAGGGGGATAGAAATAAGGAGAGAAGGAATGAGAGAAGATAACTTTGGAATCAAGATTTATTAGAGAAAGAGGAGATACAAATTTAACATTAGAGAGAGAGAAAGACAGATAGAAGGAAAGACAGATAGAGAGATAAAGAGGAAAATAGAGAAAGCGAGAGAAATAGAGAGAGAAGGAAAGAGAGAAACAGACAGAAAAAAAGGAGTTTAAATAATGAATTTTTCTTTAGGGTGTTAGATGAAAGAGACAAAGGAAAGAGATGAGAGAGAATGAAAAGAAGAGAGAGAAAGAGAGAGAGAGAGAGAGAAAAGGAGGAAGAGAAAAAGAGATAGAGAGAGAAAGAGTCGAAGAAAATGATGAATAAGTAACGCCTAGTAAAATTTGTTTTCGTATCTGCAGAAAGATGTTGTCTAAAAGAGATCGAGAAATCTGGGAAGATGATTAAGATAAGCAAATTTAACAGAAACAGAGATTGTTGAAAGAGAGAAAAAGGGATATTACATTAATGAGAGTGTATTTTTGTTTTGAGGAACTTCCGTGAAATGTTCAGAAAGGGGAGAGACTGAAAGCGTATTTAAGAGATGGAGAAACAGAGAGAGAGAGAGAGAAAAAGGAGAGAAAGAATGAGAGAATTACTCCTAAGTAGAGTTTTCGTTATCTTCTGTTTTACATTGGCTTGGTATATCATATTGCTGGAAAAGGAGAATTGAATCGAGAAAAAGAGGATATTGAGAGCGAAAGCTCTAATTTTGGTTTGAGACAAAAGATAAGGAAAGATTTTCTGAAACAGAGAGAAAGAGAGAAAAGGAGAGAAAGAATGGCTGAAAAAAGATTTTTTCTGAGAGAGAGCGAGAGGGAGAAAGGGAGAGACAGAAAGATAAGGGAAGAGATAGAGAAACAGAGAGAGAAAGAGAGAAAAAGGAGAGAAAGAATGAAAGAAAAAGAAAGAGAGTGAGCGAGACAGAAAGATAAGGGAAGAGATAGAGAAACTGAGAGTGAGAACGAAAGAGATAGAGAAACAGAAAGAGAAATAACAGACAGAAAGGGAGATGGATGTCAGTTATATGTTATCTCCTGCTAATTTTCCCTCTGAAAGTTCTCCACTGCTTAAACAGGAATTGAACTCACCTTCTTTGGGTCTGTCCCTGGATCTGATCGACGACTTTACCCACTGGGCCATGTGTTCTTGAGGACATTGCCAATGAATCTAGTATTATAAACCTAATGTTTTCAGCATCATTTTTTTACCAGTGCCCAATATTGCAATTTTGCAATTTTGCTGTTATCATTGCATGTCTTTACCAGAGTTCATATTGCAACTTTGTTATCATTGCTTTTCTCTGGCACTCCTTATTACTGGTTCCCATATTGTATTTATTTCTATGCTTGGTCGGCTCAGGAGATATTTGTGGCTTAGCATATGTGCTGATTCTTAAGTTTACGAATTTTCCAATGGTGTTCCCTGTTTATGATCTCAACATGATCCCACAGGGGGCGGTGATCTCCTTCTCTCTCCATACGTGGTCAGCCACGCCTGATTTTTCTACTTCCCTCTCGTTACAGCTTTCTGGTGTTCTTGAAGCCTTACCTTGAGGGGGCGGCCTGTCTCTCCTTTATATTTTTTTTCCGCAGCTGCACGGGATAGCGTACACACAGTCTTTAGTCATGTTCTCTCTGTGGGGGGGGTCTCCTCGTGAGAGATACCTGCGAAGTGTTGTCACGCTTTTTGAAGTTTGTCCTGATGTTATATGGACCGCAGATCCTTTGTATTTTCTCTGATAACCTCTTCACATAAGGCAGTCAGACTGTTTTCTGAGTGTTGTTGTCCTCCTCCTCCTCTTGTACCCGCCTATCCCAGTTTTTGGGGGCTGCTGCCATGTACCCAGGGTAGTTGTTACGTTGTAGGGTACTACTTATACTGACCAATTCCTTATCTAACGTCTCTTATGACTTTTGCTCGGTGTTGTAAGCATCGGACGATCCCTTTCTTTACGCTGTATGGATGGTGGGAGTCGAAATTGAGGTACTGTCCGGTGAATGTTGGTTTGCGGTATACGGATGTCTTGAACCCATGCTCTGTTCGAGATATTAGTACATCCAGGAATGGGAGTGAGTTGTTACTCTCTTTCTCCATTGTGAACTGTATCGAAGGTCTTATTGAGTTCACATGATCCAGTAGAACCTGGACATCTTCCTGATGTGGCCAGAGTATGAAGGTGTCATCTACGTACCGTAACCATATAGTTGGCTTTAGCGATGTAGACTCTAATGCCATTTCTTCAAAGTATTCCATGTATATATTCGCCATTGCTGGTGATAATGGCTTAGCCCATTGCTAAGCCCTCATCCTGTCGATATCCCATTCCGAAGTATGTTGTTTGTGTACAGAAAGTCAACATCTCCATCAGATTGTCTATTGGAATGCTGGTCCGCTCCTCTAGGGAGTCAGAGGTCAATCTATCTCTGACTACTGAGAGTGCCTCCTCCGTGGGTACCTTGGTGAACAGACTCACCACGTCCAATCACACCATCTGGTTGGATAGGATGGGAGCATCTTTGATTATTATTGATAAAGGCGTTGGTTAGATCCAGTGGCAGACCCAAAGAAGGTGAGTTCAATTCCTGGTTAAGGCAGTGGAGAACTTTCAGAGGGAAAATTAGCAGGAGATAACATATAACTGACATCCATCAAACATGGCACGTGGAACTAGAACAGTCTACCCCAGTGATCGAAATAAAGGGTTCAGTTCGAAATTCCAACCACCTGAAGAAGGCCGGAGCGTACAACAGCCGAAACGTTGTGACAAATATAGCGACAAAGATGAGAACAATAGTCCGACTCATGTAAATACTGTACATAATACCTCATCTCAGAAATATAGACAGATTTAAAAACTGTTTCAATACTACAAATGGAAAAGCAGAATTCAAATTAGAAGTATTTTTATTTTTTTACAAATTTTCACATTACACAGGTGACAGTATTTTTCGGACATTGCAGAAACAATGCTAATAGTTTATGGCAGCACCCTTTTTTCAATAACTTCTATCAGTCTATCTTCATAATTTCCGTACATATTGATAATGACGTCTCTTTGTGTTTCTTGCAGTCTATTTTTTAGCCTCTTGTATGCGCTGCCACAGTTCAGCCTCTCTGATTATTTCTGGCCCGTCGTAAACAAGCTCTGCAAGCATTTCCCATGTTTTCAATTAAATTTTAGTCTGGACTTCTTGCAGGCCATTCCAGAGTAGTTATATTTGCTTCACACATCCAATTTTTCACTGATTTGGCCACATGGATGCTGCAGTTATCTCGCTACAAAATAAAATTACTTCCCATTTCTTTTTCTATGAGTGGTAGGGCTCTCTTTTCCAAAAGTTCTCTGTAGCTCAAGGTATTTTGACCTCCTTTTAACCACTCGAGCCACAAGTTTCCATTCGGAAATACCATACCCCAAACCATGACTCCTCCTCCTCTCATCTGTCTCTTGTTGAGAATAACAGGTTCACCTTTTCTCGACCATGTACTCCACCTGTCAGGTCCATCGAACTTAAAACGTTTTTCATCAATAAATATCATTTTCTTGAAGTCGACATGGTTTGTTATCCATCTTTTGGCCGCTATCAGCCTTGCCTCCTTGTGTTTTCTCGTTAGTGTAATTCTTTTCTTGATTTTAGCATACTTAAGTCCGTGTAGCTTTATTTGTACAGTTCGAACACTGGCGTCAAGTTCACACTTCTCATTTACTTTTTTTGCTGTCACCTTTTCTCCAGATGATAACAACCTCGTAACACCCCTCTTCATTCTTCTTTCTTTTCTCTTGGAAATTTTTTTTTTTCGTCCTCTCTTCATCTTCTTCTTCCGCTCATAGTCTGTACTTAGCATGTATTCAACTGTTGACTTCGGTAGCTTCATCTCAGCGGCGATCTTTCGGATGCTGAGCCCGTCTTCTCTCTTATTTTAGACCAAACTGATGACTTCTTTTGAATGCATTCTTCTTCAGGATTTTAATACGTTTTCGCAGTGAATGGTAAAGATACTCAAATGTAATGGTCAGGGTACAATTTAACTGCAGAAAATTTGCATATTGTAGACGTTCAACGACTAAATCATTAAAAAACCTAAGTTGAAGTAAAAATAAAGAAAACATGAAAGCAAAGACAAACCCATCAATCAATGTTCATACCATTAATGGACAGTTACTGCTGAACTACCTACTCATCAACAAAAAAGCTCTCGGCAGCAAAAAGCACATTTAAGCACACTTTTCAAAGTGTCCCAAAAATAGTGTCGGCCCCGTGTATATGTAGAGTTAATTTTGATATTATATCCACCCTTGTGCAAATTGAAACAAACGCTTTAGTTTCCTTTCTTTCACCATACAGTCAGTTTTAGACCCCCTGCAGTGGCAGTGTGTAATTGATTTCGATTTCTCCTCAGATTAGGTCATCTGCAGTGGTGTGCAGTAAAATGAATCTATTTTCGGAGTGTATGATGAAATTTGCCCTTGAAAAATATTTCGTCATCCGAGAATTCGTGTTTTAAGAAAGGAGAAAGTTGAAAAAGAAAATTCAGTGTGTATACATATTGTTAGGCTAGAAAATATTAAGGCACTTTCGTAACTGATTTTATCTCTTAAGAAGGGCATAATGTTATCCCATTTGTACAATAAGTTTGAAAAAATTTTTTTTTTCACAAAAATATTCATATATTCATTCATAAATATAAGCATTGACGTCACTTCGAAAAGATATTTATACATGAATGTGCAGATATAAATTAAACACAATAAAAAAAATCTATGAAGAAAGAAAGAAAGAAACGGTAAATTCTGTCTGTCTGTCTGTCCGTCCGTGTGTCTGAAACTCTTCTCACTCGGGCCACTCTTGCTCTACATAAACATACACCTTTTTGGAATCAGGATAATCTCTGGATTGAAAATATACCCGTTATCTGGTGCTTAAACATCCAGCATTGGGATTTGTGTCTGGATGAGGAGGGAACAGTTACAAATTCAAATTTTAAAATGACTGAAAAAAAATGAGTGACTTTAAAAGTTTTAATTTATGTTGAGTTTAAAGTAACAAAAAAACTTTGTAAATTTAAAAAAAAACAGTAAATTTTAAATTCAGTTTAAAATATCTCCAAAACTTTGTGAATTGAGGATATCAGTTTTATTTCTTGAAAATTCTTAGGAATCAGAGTTAAAATGAGAGGTTTCGTGGCATGCGGTTTTGAAGTTCCGCAGAGATTGTGATTTGAAAAACTTCATTTTCGACCTGACTTTAAATTTCGGTCCAAATCGGGGTTTCGGTCCAAATTCGGTTTTATTCGGAATTAGAATTATAGGCCGAATCAGAGATAAAGTGAACTCTTGAAGTTTCATGGAGAGAATTGAGGAATTCAAAGTTATTTCTTCAAAATTATTGTTTTCTAAGCTGAGCCAGAGATCCCTTTAGTTTCGGGCCGGAGACCCAATAAGACTTCCACAGGAGCTAGATTAAAACTCGGCACGGTGTGCAGCTTTTAAGGTAGTTCAAACTGAAAACAATCGTAAGATTTGTTATTTACAAAATCACATCACGTTTTATTTAAATTTCTATGAGGATAAGTTCTTGATATTTGATTTTTTTTATAATTTATGCTCTACAAAGCATTGACCAACACATAAAGAGTTCATGTTAAAAGATATGTTAATATCAAAGTCATGCCTAACGTCAAGGTAAATTTAAATTTAGTTCATATAATAAACAGAGATTAGTTGGCTTTGAGGAAGAGAGTATACATCGTCAAGAGTAGCATCAAGTATAAAAGGCGCCCGCCACGACATAGTGATGGCTAGAGCGATCCTTGCTGACAGTGTATCGAGTAAAGCTTTGATTAAAATTAGCAGGAAAGCTACGAAAGCTATGTTAGGAGCCTAACCACGGATGGTGGCGGTTTCCATGTGAAATCAGGGTCTTATGATTTGGGACATTTGAAAGAAGAATCTGTCTTTATTGTTTCTGTTGGAGATGGGACTGTGAATCATAGATTTGTTGAAGGTAACGCCGATGAGAATGTGTCAAGTGACAGCGGCCTTTCCTTGGTGGACAACCGGGAAGGAATGAAAAGGCGGAGAACTCTTCGCTGATGGTCATCAATCCTTTGGAAGAACAAAGGAAAGGATTGCCTTTTACCAATCAACGTACTGAAGACGGTGAAAAAAAAGTTGAAATAAGATCCAGATATTTGAATTTTTTTATAATCTATTCTCCACATACCGTTAACCAACTTTTAAAAGGACACGTTCCAGTTTCGAATGAAGAAAAAGTACGTTTATCTCATGTTGACACTTAAGAATCAGGCTAAATATACATTTAGCTTGCATAATGATTAAGGATAGATAAGTTAGCTTTTTGTGTAAAAGAGTAGACAGTGTTGTATAAAAATATAGACGACATAATCATGGCAGCAGTAAACTTTCTTGACAGTATATCTAGAAAATCTTCAGTTATGAGTAACAGGAAAATCTCGATTGTTAGCAGCCTAACCTCGGATGGTGGCGCTTTCCATGTGAAATCCGGGTATTTTGATTTGGGACATTTGAAAGAAGAACCTGTCTTTTTTGTTTCTGTTGGAGATGGGATTGTGAATCCTGGATTTGTTGAAGGTAACACGGATGAGAATATGTTAGGCGACAGCGGCCTTCCTCGGACGGAGAGGTTATCCGATGGACAGCCAGGAAGAAATGAAATGGCAGATAAATCTTCGCCAATGGTCATCAATCCTTTTGAAGAACAAAGAAGGGGATTGCCTTTTACCAATCAACGTACTGAAGCCGGTGAAACAAAGTTGGAAAATATTTCGGCAGGAAAAAACGAACAGAACAATACGTAAGTGCTATAATATTATCTGTAATTATTTCAGTATATTTTATGTTTGTTTCTCTCTTGAAAGTAAATATGTACATTGGATGGATTCTCGGCTCGGCTCCAAATATGCTTGTCCGCCAGGTTCGTTAGCTAGTCCCTAAGGCACATTTGTCTTCCTTAAACATCGACAGCAATATGGTTTATATTGCAACTGTACTGATCGGAACTTAGATACAGTATCTAGAAGAGATCGCAGCCCTATTGAAAAAGGCCGGCACGCTCAAAATTTCAGGCACCATGATTTTTAGCTTTGTGGTAGTGTAACCGTCTATCAATTCTGAACAGTTGTGTTTGATTCAGTTTCATTCAAAACGCTTCGGTCAATCGAGTGCATGGTGTTTTTAGGCACTACCCAATTGTAACACATACTGGGATTGATTCTCAATGGCTGCCCAGACAACATGCCCCTCTACTCTGGATCGAAAAGATTCAAATGAATACAGGACATTTGGGGGCACCTCGTCTGCAGGAGTTGGCGGAAAGTTCTCAATGTTCACAACCAACCGCCTTCGAGGCTTCACTCCAGGTTTTCTGTCTGGATTTATTTCCATAGCCTTTTCCATGTTTTAGATATGACAGTGAGGCAGTGGTGTTTTAAAATTAGGGTTATCGTTCACCGTCGAGGTGCCTAATAAACAGGGATTAATATATATTGATTTTTTAATCGTAGCTTACATGTGGCACAAGGCCGAACGAATGAGGTACCCAATGAAAATAGACCTAACTAAACAATCGTAACTGTTTTAGCGGGACTAACTTGCTGACCATTACACCAGGCCGATGTGCCTAAAAAAAAGGGATTCATATATATTGATTTGTTAAGCGTAGCTTAGATGTGGCACTAGGACGACCGTATGAGGTACCCAATGAGGATAGACCTCACTATTCAGTTGTAACTGTTTTAGCGTGACTAGATGGCTGACCATTACACCACGCCGAGTTGCCTAATAAACAGGGATTAATATATATTGATTTTTTAATCGTAGCTTACATGTGGCACAAGGCCGAACGTATGAGGTACCCATACCCGAACGTGTGAGGTACCCATACCCGAACGCGTGAGGTACCCAATGAGGATAGACCTCGCTATTCAGTCGTAACTGTTTTAGCGTGACTAGATGGCTGACCATTACACCATACCTGTGTAGCTTAGATATGGCACAACGCCGAATGTATGGGGCACCCAGTGAGGATGGAACTCACTACTAAGTCGTATCAGAGAAAGGTAAAACGTGGTAAGTCATATAATCTTTATAATTTCCAAACTATTTTTTTCTTTATCTGTTCAACTCATTCTGATATGTAGATATTTCTTCAGTGTTACTAATGTGCTTTTATGTAACAAAAAACTGGGTGAACTTTAATATGCGGTCTACCGCGTTATCTAACTCTATAGGATGAAAAATTTTGCTCTTTGTTTTTTTACGCATTTCACCTTAAGCAAGGCGGGAGTGCCACTAGCACGCAAGGGGTTACAGAGCGTGAGAGCAAGAATAAACAGGGTTGTTTGATGAAAGGATATAAAAGATGGGAATCAGGTTCAATATATCAATGTCAATTGACATTATATTTGAATATTATAGCTGTCAGGGAAGTAAGTAGGAGGAAGGGAGTTCCATTGTCGGGAAGTCTGAGAGAAGAAGTCGTTGGAGTAAAAGAAGCGGTTACATTTAACTATTTCGACAGTGAAAGGGTGGGACCGAGATGCCAATCTAGTAGCACGTTTAAATTCATGCAGTTTAGTGAAAGTAGCTTGTCAGAGCAATTGCCATGAAAATATCTGTAGAAAAGACATAGGGAAGCCACAGCACGTCTTTGAGAAAGTGACAGTAGACAAGTCGCCATATCACGACCTATCACATTGCATATCCGTCTCTGTATTTTGTCTAGGACCTAGAGATGAACAGCGGGGGCACCAGACCATATATGGCAACAGTATTCAATGCAAGGTAAATTTATAGATTTGAAGGATGGACTCAGACGCGAAAAACCTTCTGATGCGACACAGAGAACAAACTTTCCTTGCTGTAGATGAAGCTATTGATTCAATGTAGTTGCTTCACCTCAGGTCAAACGTGAGAGCAAGAAGGCACAGAGAGACGCTCTCGTAGCTTGGGCTTCAGTCATGCTGATAGGAGGCAGGAAGGGTTCTCTATGGTGAATAAATGAGAGCAGTTTCGTTTTGGAGGCATTCAAGTTTACGAAGCATTTCCTGCCCCAGTTAACCACAGATTGGAGGTCCTTTTTGAAATCAGCGGTTAGGTTAACTTTGTCAGCGATGCCGGATTTATTACTCCTGTTTTTTTAATTTCAGCAGTTATGATTTCTCATTTTCTTCCACTTTCAGTAACCCGTTGCTTCTTAGTTAAATTATCGCCTTGCTTGGAGAGGAGAGGAAAGAGAAATAATGAAATAAGAGAAAGAATTCGAATTTGATATATTGTATTTTTGTTTTATTCTAAAAGACAAAATTCCTCAGAAAAAGTGACGTCGGCTGACATTTTGAAAGAGACTGGCACTTCCAAATTATCCGCGAGAGACTACCTAACAGCACTGTGTCTTTTTGTCATCACTTTTATAACCTACGGAAACCAGGATTCCTTACCATTTCTCTCAGTAGAATGGCTAAAAGATTTCAAGAATTCAAAACCACTCATACTTTTCATTCCAAACTTGACGAGTGGTTTGATGAGTGCTGCTGGTAAGTCTCCATGGATTTTTTCTTTTTGTTTTTATCTAATTTCCATTGCGAAGACTTCAATGTTTATTGTTGTGGTTTCCTCCCTCTAAAGAATCTATGTTGAACTCTTCCGCCTACTATAAGATTAGTAGGAGAGAAGGCCTTAGGGATCAGTCGACCAGATTGGTCGCACTGTGCTGTCGAACTCCCTTTGAGCAGAGAGGAACCCGGACGAGGTTTTGCCAAAGGGCAAATTTTAGCCCGGGGAGGTAGACAGATCCCGAACACGCTTATGCGGGTTCTAAGGGAATATTTTTGGCCGAGCCTACGGGCTCGGAGAAACCCACGTTAAACTCGGAATTGTGCCACATACATTCCTCATGGGGGATGTTAAATATTAACAGTCGAATAGATTGAACGCTGGGTCAACCGACACACACTCACTAGTCGTGTAATACTCTTCTGTTGTACTTACTGTTTAATACATATCTGCAACACTTGTTTTGATATTTCTGTAACCATTTACTTGGTCACAACATCTTATCTCATCGTCGTCGCCAAGAAATTTGTGACCAAGTAAATAGGTTAACGAAAGTGTCAAAACAGTACTCAACGTCAATCTCATTCGACTTTTTAAAAGGCCTTCTCTCCTACTAATTTTATAGTAGGCGGAAGAGTCCAACATAGACTCTTTAGAGGGAGGACACCACATCATTTATGAACACAACTAGAATGAAAACATGTAATCCCAAGTTAGTCACAGATAATTATTAAGCTTAGCCTAATTCACTAATTATGGAACACTTAGTCAGGATTGAACTCAATAACCGGTAATGGCATATAATGAAATACTACGTAAATTGGAGAATCCGTACATTTTGGCTCGGATTGAGGAATCGGAAAGTCAAGTTCTAATTCCAGTCGAGTTCATTACATTATAAAGGTATAAATCCATTTCTTCGCCCCTCCAACTGGGTTCTATAGCCTTGTGTGGCAACCAGTCTAGGAGAAGGAAACTGAATTCAAAGCCACTTGCTGCTTTGAAGTCCTTGCCTCTTTAGGCCTAGAAGAAAGTAACTTTAAAAAAAAATCCACCGCTGAAAGGAAGAACGGGGTAACCAGAACATACCCGGTGCAAAAGGAAGCCATTGCACTGTTCTGTTAATAATTTTATCAGGGAGAGTAGATGGGAGATAGAGAGGCGAGTGGTGACCACGGCGGCGGCACTAAATTAATTTAAATGACAATGAATGAATGATGTACTTGACTATTTCACGCACAAAGAAAAACGGGCTGAACTGCTATGTAATATCGGCCCTCCTATAATGCAAAAAAGACTTCAGGCAACAGAAATGTGGTTTTACAGAAGGATGCTGAGAATGCCATGGACTGAACATTTGAGTAACGACGTAGTGTTAGGGAAAATGAAAACAAATATCACATATACTTCGAATAAAGAGAGAGATAGTTGAAATTTATATGGAACAAAATGAGGATAGAAGGCTTGAAGAATTTGACACTCAAAGGACATATTGAAAGCAAGAGGGGCGGAGGAAATGCATAACCTACTTAAAGAGCTTCTGTTTATGGATAACAGAAAAAAGGATTAGGAGAGACAGCTCACAAGCAAAATTTACTAAGATCTACAAAGGAAGTTGTAGAGTGCCATGATTGCTCAAGCCCTGAAGGTACACAGTACAGAAGAAGTAGAGGTGCATTGAAATTGGTGATTAAATATATATATATATATATATATATATATATATATATATATATATATATCTGTAAAGTAATATCATCTTTATCGTATTCAAAACTTCTTTTCATTCTTTATCTAATAAACATTTGTAATCCGACATTTTTATTACTCAAAAAGTTATTTTAGTGGTTACCGTGTTTGAAATAGACGCCTTATTATTATTTTAAAAGTAATAATATATATATATATATATATATATATATATATATATATATATATATATATAAAACTCATATTCAGTTAAAATAAAATTTTAAAATTCCAAAAATAAAACTCGCCACTGATAATGGTTAAAAGAATAGCCGAAAGCGTTCGGTTATGCAGAACTTTTGAAGAGTTTTTACACACATTGTATCCAGAAAGGAAAACACTTGTACAAACACAAGAAAAAATAAACAAAATGCTTAATCGCAGTCCCTTGTCAGTAGTGTTTAACGAAGCCTGTATAAAAGAGGGATTGCTGCCTAAATCACAATATATATATATATATATTGACCAGATATCGATAAATAGCAGGAAAGATTCTGTTCTTTAGCCTTGGTTGGCAACCAGTCTAGTAGAAAACAAGTCTGAATTCAAAAAATGCCGATGCATATTGTGCAGCGGTTCTCTGTTTTCAGTTCTTCCAAAATGTCTGGTTGGTTCTGCGCAAGCCTTCACCACTAGAATCAAATGATATGTGAGGGTAGTCTGAGTGATGGTTCTAAGAACTGAGCTGATTGACTCTCAAACGCCGAAAACGACTGGGGAGTCCTGTATATAAGGTTGTCTGTTTTCCAATTAAATTGAATTAATAATTGCTCTGTTTTCACATTGAGCTCTCGTTGCGACTATCCATACTTTTCATTACCTAAATATATATCCTCCTTGAGATTATTCATACTTTTCATTACATAACTGTATATCCTCTTTGGGATTATCCATATTTTGCATTACCTAAATATATATCCCACTTGGGATTATTCATACTTTTCATTACATAACTGTATATCCTCCGTGGGATTATCCATACATTTCATTACCTAACTATATATCCTCCTTGGGATTATCTGTTATGGTCCAGGTTAGGACCAAGGAAGAACAACACAAACACCAGAGTAGAAATAACGAAGTTATATTACACGAAATAATAATACAAGATGTGGAAGGTGTTAGTATGACTGTCAGTCTGGTTTAGAGTGAACTACTATCGGCTCGACTCGATTCGGTATCTAGCCACCCCCACCATGAGGGTTGCATGTGGCACAAGGCCAGGTTTAACGTGAGTTTCCCGAGCCCGTAGGCTCAGCCAAGAAATGCCCGTAGAACCCGTATAAACGGGATCGGGTTGGTCAACCTCCCCGAACGAGACTCTGCCCTTCGGTGGAGCCTCGTCCGGGTTCCTCTCTGCTCAAAGGCAGAGTTCGACCAAATCAAGCCGAGAAGCTCGGCTTGATTCGGTATCTAGCCACCCCCACGAGGGTTGCATGCGACACAAGGTCATTTTTATCGTGGGTTTCCTGAGCCCGTAGGCTCAGCCAAAAAATATGCCCGTATAACTCGTAAAACGAGATAGGGTGGGTCATTCACCCCGAACGAGATTCTGCCCTTCGGCGGAACCTCGTCCGGGTTCCTTTCTGCTCAAAAGCAGAGTTCGACCGTCAAGTCGAAAAGCTCGGCTTGATTCGGTATCTAGCCACCCCCCACGAGGGTTGCATGCGACACAAGGTCATTTTTATCGTGGGTTTCCTGAGCCCGTAGGCTCAGCCAAAAAAAATATGCCCGTATAACTCGTAAAAACGAGATAGGGTAGGTCATTCACCCCGAACGAGATTCTGCCCTTCGGCGGAACCTCGTCCGGGTTCCTTTCTGCTCAAAAGCAGAGAGTTCGACCGTCAAGTCGAAAGATCGGCTTGATTCGGTATCTAGCCACCCCCCACGAGGGTTGCATGCGACACAAGGTCATTTTTATCGTGGGTTTCCTGAGCCCATAGGCTCAGCCAAAAATATGCCCGTATGACTCGTAAAAACGAGATAGGGTAGGTCATTCACCCCGAACGAGATTCTGCCCTTCGGCGGAACCTCGTCCGGGTTCCTTTCTGCTTAAAAGCAGAGAGTTCGACCGTCAAGTCGAAATGATCGGCTTGATTCGGTATCTAGCCACCCCCCACGAGGGTTGCATGTGACACAAGGTCATTTTTATCGTGGGTTTCCTGAGCCCGTAGGCTCAGCCAAAATATGCCCGTATAACTCGTAAAAACGAGATAGGGTAGGTCATTCACCCCGAACGAGATTCTGCCCTTCGGCGGAACCTCGTCCGGGTTCCTTTCTGCTCAAAAGCAGAGAGTTCGACCGTCAAGTCGAAAAGCTCGGCTTGATTCGGTATCTAGCCACCCCCCACGAGGGTTGCATGCGACACAAGGTCATTTTTTATCGTGGGTTTCCTGAGCCCGTAGGCTCAGCCAAAAAATATGCCCGTATGACTCGTAAAAACGAGATCAGGGTGGGTCATTCACCCCGAACGAGATTCTGCCCTTCGGCGGAACCTCGTCCGGGTTCCTTTCTGCTCAAAAAGCAGAGAGTTCGACCATCAAGTCGAAATGATCGGCTTGATTCAGTATCTAGCCACCCCCCCCACGAGGGTTGCATGCGACACAAGGTCATTTTATCGTGGGTTTCCTGAGCCCGTAGGCTCAATAAAAAATATGCCCGTATGACTCGTAAAAACGAGATAGGGTGGGTCATTCACCCCGAACGAGATTCTGCCCTTCGGCGGAACCTCGTCCGGGTTCCTTTCTGCTCAAAAGCAGAGAGTTCGACCGTCAAGTCGAAATGATCGGCTTGATTCGACCCTCTCTCTTGAGAGGCGTAGTATACATAGTGTTAGGAAGAGTTCATTCTGTAGTTATAGGTAAGGATCCATGACATTATCCATACGGATTACCAAACTTTTCATTACCTAACACACACACACACATATATATGTATATATATATATATATGATAAAAATAATGTTTTAAGGTACCCTATATTCATGAATATAAGTACACAGCATCAGAGATTGAGCGTATGTATATATAAATATCAAAGTGAACATTACACACACCCACACCCACACCCATATATATATATATATATATATATATATATATATATATATATAGCCCAAGATAGCATATTACCACAAATATTTAAAATGCAAGGAAATTTGTTTTTTTTTTTTACTTTAAAATGATAATACCGGCGAATAATTAATTATTTTTTTATTTGCTTCATCTCAGGCGTCATCGATGGTTTTCTCATCAATCGATTTGGGATATATAATATGATTGTTGCTGGTTGTTACATGCAATTATTCTGTGCCATCGGGGCTTCTTTTAGTACCAATGCCATCACTTTAGTCATTGTCCTTGGTGCCATTCAAGGTAAGATATTTCATTTTTCTACTTTTTGAAAATCTGAAATTCTATGTCTGTGAATTTGGGGACTTGCATTAATAATGACCGTTGACACATTTCTTTTTGAGGATGCATGGAAAATTGCATCCATGTTTACAGAGCATTTTGGTAAATACTATCAAGATCAGAGGCCGACTAATTTATATTGGAAAATAGATTTGTCCATATTACTTACATTATTTACATTATTCGGACAGTTATCCTCATCTTCATTGCCATATTCACAACGTTTCGGTCTCTATATCTCTGAGATGAGGTATTATAATTATTTGCATTATTTACATTATTCGGACTGTTATCCTAGTCTTCATTGTCATATTCACAATGTTTCGGTCTCTATACCTCTGAAATGAGGTATTACGATTACTTGCATTATTTACATTATTCGGATTGTTATCCTCGTCTTCATTGACATATTTACAAAGTTTCGGCCGATCTACGCTCCGGCCTTCTTCAAGTGATGGGTATTTCTGACCAAACCCTCGTCGACCGGGGTAGGTGTTCTAGTTCTACGTGCCATGCCTTCAAGATCTGTCTATATCCCTGAGATGAGGTTTTATGATTATTTACCTTATTTACATTATTTGGACAGTTATCCTCATCTTCATTACCATATTCGCAACGTTTCGACTGTTGTACGCTCCGGCCTTCTTCAGGGGAATTTCGAACCGAACCCTGTATTTCGTTCACTGGACTCATGGCCTAGTGTATAAAGACGTTGGTTAGATCTAGTCACTTTAGATTTCGGCATTAAATAATCCATAGAGGTTGATATGCCTCTAAACAAAGGCAACCAATCCAAACCAAACCAATCAAAATATTTAGATTTCGGCATTAAATTACCCATAGAGGTTGATATGTCGCTAATCAAAATCACCCAAACCAAACCAATCAAAATATTTAGATTTCGGCATTAAATAACCCATAGAGGTTGATATGCCGCTAAACAAAATCAACCAACCAAAATCATTTATTTCACTTTGTCGTAGCGTTCAAAAATGTTTACCATTAATCTACCAACTGAAGATTATAACACTGACTTTTAGAAAGGTTCGTGTTTTATTGCCGTGTATCTGTTTAGAAAGCACAACTTAACCGTTAAGGTCCACGGACTATGCGAAAAAACTGAGTAATTGTTAGTTCGAAGCAGTTATTTAAACGAAACATCTGATTGGTTCAAATCCTACCGTAATACGCTAATAAATCAAACAGACGATATTCTGATCACTTAGTTTCGCCTGATACACTCATGTAATATATGGAAGACTACAATAAAATCCTCCTTGAATTTTTATTTATAATTTACAACAGTTCGCACTAAAAAGTAAATTATCTTCTCAATTTTATTGGATTTTCTTTCAGGGTTTGCGGGTTGTTTTTGCTATGTCAATTCTGTCATCCTGATGGGCTTTGAATTTGGAAATGCGGGAAAATATTTCATCGCCGCGTTATCTTTAGCGGCGCCGTTCTGTGGTATCGTCTTCCCAAATCTGATTCCCGTGTTTATTGAAGAGTACACCTGGCGAGGAAGTTTGTTCATGCTTGCGTCTATCGACCTGCAAATGATTCCCTTGACCTTGTTTCTGCTCCTCTCTCACAAGCACAAAATGAAGAAACTAGCGAAAATCGATGCCAGAACGAAGAAAGCGTCAAGTGAACCGATTCCTCTCACGGCAGCTTTCGACGTCTCCCTCTTCAAAAATCCTATTTACGTTACTTACCTATGTGCTGTTGCATTCACATTGACTGGATGCAATGCGATGTATAGCTTTTTACCCACTTTTTTTCACAAGAAAGGTTTGTCTTTGAAGGATGCCGCCATGCTGTACAGTCTTTTTTGCATTATTTCTTTCGTTCCAAGGTAAGGTCAAACACAATCTGAGAAAACTAATGAAATTTTAAAATCTCAGAAATGTATTTTTCTTGGAATATATTTTTGGATGTTTTTTTTTTTTTTTAAAGTGATAGCAATAGATTAATTATTCTGTAAGTTATCTTCATTGTTGTTGTTTTGATATCTTCTTTAAATTGATATGGCATACAGTAATCTTTAGTTTTAAACATAATTACATCGCCCCAGGGATGTGAGCTTTGTAATTTAGTGTGTCTAATTTAAGCGTCTACTGAAAGAAGGATGGAGAACTCATCGGCCGAAATGTTTAATGGAATAAAGAAAAGTGATTCGAATATTGGCAATTCTACAAACCAGAAAATTACGCATTATATGGAAATTGTCGAAAATGTCGGCAAAAATACAGTGATCAAAACAACTATAATGAGGATAACCCACACAGTTCATTAAATAGACAACCAATAGTAATAATCGAATCTTCAAGATACACCCAGAAGGCAGTAAAAAATAGCGGCAAATATCTTATTATGATAACAAAACAAGTGAATTTTCGGATAATTCCTAATTTCACTTATAATTTTTTCTTCTTGTAGGGCTTCGATCGGATTTCTTCAGCGATGGATCAAAATCCCTTTCATTTATATTTTCATCGCATTATCTTTACTTTCTGCTTCGCTGTGTATTCTCATCATTCAAGCTGAATCCTACTTTGCTCTTTTAAGTTTCACTATCGTCTTGTCCCTTTGCATGGGAGGTCCATCAGGACTTTATTCCATTGGTACCCTGGAAATTGTGGGAATTGAGAAATACAGTTTTGCTACGTCCGTTATTGAGACTTCATACGGAGTAGGAACGGCAGTTTTTGGTTATTTGGCTGGTGAGTAGTGAGAATTTTAACTTTTCTTTCATTTATGCGTTTTAAGTGGAAATTCTTTAATTCTAGAGTATTTAGTTTTAATGTAATGGAAATTTGAATTGTAAATGTAAAAGATGAAAAAATAATCCATTTTTTATATTAAGTCTATCATAAGCTTTCAAAGGATTTCACTATGAGATATTGTTCAATAACAAATATCATTCCTCTATTTTTAGTTGGACATTGGCTTAGATAGATTAGGTTTAAAATGTGGTATTATGCATAGGTGGTCGATGTTATTAAATGTTATACTGTCTAACATGTTGTATCATACATAGTAAATCAGACGTTGTGCTGATACAAAAGTTTTTAAAGGAATACAATATTAGATATGGTTCAATAAAAAATACAATTCCTCTCTTTTGAGTTGAACTTTGGCATGGATATCTCTATCGAAACTTTAATAACATGGATATTAAAAAGAAACTCAAATCTGACTCACATTAAATCCTTCGGTAAGATTAATCATTCAAGTTTTTTTTTCTAATAATGAAGAGATTTAGACGGTGGTAAAGAAAAATGACTTAATGCCCAGTCACCGGTTGAACAGTGGTAGAAAAAAATGACTTAATGCCCAGGCACCGGTTGAACAGTGGTAGAAAAAATGACTTAATGCCCAGGTTTTTGTTGAACAGTGGTAAAAAAAAATGACTTAATGCCCAGGCACCGGTTGAACAGTGGTAGAAAAAAAATGACTTAATGCCCAGGCACCGGTTGAACAGTGGTAGAAAAAAATGACTTAATGCCCAGGCACCGGTTGAACAGTGGTAGAAAAAATGACTTAATGCCCAGGCACCGGTTGAACAGTGGTAAAAAAAATGACTTAATGCCCAGGCACCGGTTGAACAGTGGTAAAAAAAAATGACTTAATGCCCAGTCACCGGTTGAACAGTGGTAAAAAAATGACTTAATGCCCAGGCACCATTGAACAGTGGTAGAAAAAATGACTTAATGCCCAGGCACCGGTTGAACAGTGGTAAAAAAATGACTTAATGCCCAGGAAATGCCCGGTTGAACAGTGGTATAAAAAAAATGACTTAATGCCCAGGCACCAGTTGAACAGTGGTAAAAAAAATGACTTAATGCCCAGGCACCGGTTGAACAGTGGTAGAAAAAATGACTTAATGCCCAGGCACCGGTTGAACAGTGGTAGAAAAAATGACTTAATGCCCAGGCACCGGTTGAACAGTGGTAGAAAAAATGACTTAATGCCCAGGCACCGGTTGAACAGTGGTAGAAAAAAAACTTAATGCCCAGGCACCGGTTGAACAGTGGTAGAAAAAAATGACTTAATGCCCAGGCACCGGTTGAACAGTGGTAGAAAAAATGACTTAATGCCCAGGCACCGGTTGAACAGTGGTAGAAAAAAATGACTTAATGCCCAGGCACCGGTTGAACAGTGGTAGAAAAATGACTTAATGCCCAGGCACCGGTTGAACAGTGGTAAAAAAAATGACTTAATGCCCAGGCACCGGTTGAACAGTGGTAGAAAAAAATGACTTAATGCCCAGGCACCGGTTGAACAGTGGTACAAAAAATGACTTAATGCCCAGGTTTGAACAGTGGTAGAAAAAATGACTTAATGCCCAGTCACCGGTTGAACAGTGGTAGAAAAAAATGACTTAATGCCCAGGCACCGGTTGAACAGTGGTAGAAAAAATGACTTAATGCCCAGGCACCGGTTGAACAGTGGTAGAGAAAAATGGCTTAATGCCCAGGCACCGGTTGAACAGTGTGAGAGGAAAATGACTTAATGCCCAGGCACCGGTTGAACAGTGGTAGAAAAAATGACTTAATGCCCAGGCACCGGTTGAACAGTGGTAGAAAAAAAAATGACTTAATGCCCAGGCACCGGTTGAACAGTGGTAGAAAAAATGACTTAATGCCCAGGCACCGGTTGAACAGTGGTAGAAAAAATGACTTAATGCCCAGGCACCGGTTGAACAGTGGTAGAAAAAAAATGACTTAATGCCCAGGCACCGGTTGAACAGTGGTAAAAAAAATGACTTAATGCCCAGGCACCGGTTGAACAGTGGTAGAAAAAATGACTTAATGCCCAGGCACCGGTTGAACAGTGGTAGAAAAAAATGACTTAATGCCCAGGCACCGGTTGAACAGTGGTAGAAAAAAATGACTTAATGCCCAGGCACCGGTTGAACAGTGGTAGAAAAAAATGACTTAATGCCCAGGCACCGGTTGAACAGTGGTAGAAAAAAATGACTTAATGCCGAGGCACCGGTTGAACAGTGGTAGAAAAAATGACTTAATGCCCAGCCACCTGTTGAACTGTGGGTATAGACTTGTAACTATTTTTATATCTACCGTGAAACATTACATACCGATTATTTGCGAGTTTTGACTCAGGAGCTCAGTGAGAAGGATTAAAATTGTTCAGAGACCTAGGGGTCAAAGGGTTAAGCTTTGGACGAGATAAAAACGAGAAGTGAATTTCGAACTGACTGATAACGATAACAATCTTGTGCGAATGGTGATGTAATCATTGCTTTGTCAGACACGACATAAAATATTTGTGGCAAATATTCAGGATTTGTCTGATAATATCATCCGTAATCTGGGTGTTTTTTTTTACAGGTGTTTTACAGGTGATTGTCCTGAAGGACACATGACCCAATGGATAAAAACCTTGGTTATGAATTCAATACTAGGCCACAGTGGTGAACCAAAAACTTGTAGAGTTGAGTTAAAGGAAAATAACTGAGATGTCTGGGAGAGGCACGATACGTGGAACTAGAACAATTTGCATCGGGGTGACGAAATAAAGGGTTCGGTTTGAAATTCCAATCGCCTGAAAAAGGCCGGAGCATACAACGGCTGAAACGTTGTGAATATAGCAATGAAGATGAGGATAACAGCCCGAATAATGTAAATAATGCAAGTAATCATAATACATAATCTCAGAGATATAGAGGCCGAAACGTTGTGAATATGGCAATGAAAATGAAGATAACAGTCCGAGTAATGTAAATAATGCAAGTAATGATAATAAATCATCTCAGAGATGTAGATGCTGAAACATTGTGATTATGGCAATGAAGATGAGGATAACAGTCCGAATAATTTAAAAAATGCAAGTAATCATAATACCTCATCTCAGAGATATACAGTCCAAAACGTAGTGAATATCGAATGAAAATGAGCACAACAGTCCGAATTATGTAAATAATGTAAGTAAACATAATACCTCATCTCAGAGATATAGAGGCTGAAACGTTGTGAATGTGACAATGAAGATGAGGATAACAGTCCGAATAATGTAAATAATCCAAGTAATCCACAATGAGTGTCGAACTGACGGATAAGACAGATTCTTAATTGGCGAGTCTCGGGATTTACAGGTAATGGATAAGAACAGTTTATACTTACATATGGACACGAATGGAGAACCTCATAATTTACGGAATTTTGGCATAATATCACGCATCTGGGGTCAGTTGCAAGGATCGAACTAGCATGCTTGTAGGGAGGATAAGCTTTCTAAAATTGTGGTTTGTTTTAGAACAATTTTACAATTTCTAAACAACGATAGAAAATGCAAATAATCGCATTTCTCCTTTCGAACTGTTTCGCTTTGTTCGTCATAATATTGGATACCTTGAAGACTATTGAATGGTGCAGGCTTTGATTTCTACTACTTACTCGTTAACCACTACTTTTTGGTAGCGTCATGCATGTCTCTTAATGTTTATTTACCAATCGATTTGAATACAACCAGATAAATTGATTTTCTCTCAACTTATTTTCAGGTGTATTGGTTGGCGCTACGGGTTCTTATCGACAAGCTTTCTGCATTTACGGCGCGTTAATCATTACCTCCAACCTGATCTTGTTGATCACAGCCCTTGTTAAATATTGGCGATGCAGACCAGGTATTTCAAAATTTTGAGAAAGCATCCTTATTTCTGGTAGCAGTTTGTCCGGATCTTTGATTTTGATAACATTTCACAATTGGTAGAATGTTGATGCCCTGCAGTTTACCAAGAATATTTCAAGAGCAGAACAACGGTCAGTATTAGATGTAAGGGGAACAGGTAATCTTTACTTGAAGAAACTGATTTCTCTACCAGAACTCGAAACTGAAAAAATCCAAGAAAATGTTTTTTCTTCATAAAAAATTCAAAACAATTATTCATTGATTTTCGTTTCATTTTAAGAATATATTTTTTTTTATTAAGAATTATTTTCAACAGAAATATGCATTATTAAAGAATTTGAGAGAGTTAGTTTATACGGATTTTAGGAGGAAAAATAAAATCCGAGTGTCATGTCCATAAAATAATAAACAACGCGAGGAAATGATGAAAACCGATCTAAATATGACAGTATCAAACTTTTGGTTATTTAAAGCCAGAAAATATTTTTAGATTGTGAGAATATATCAAGCTATCTTGACCAAGAAACACCACTTCTACCGCAATTTCAGTACATGTGGTACCCTGATAGGTCACCGGTTTCGTGCGATTGCAATATGGTGGAATCGTTTCACGTTTCATGAGTATCTATATATATATATATATATATATATATATAATTATAATTTATAAAAAAATTATAACATAAGTATGTTATAAAATCACTACAAAAATAGCCATTTTGTTTCAACACCCTCGGTGTCTTATCAAGTGATGATGTTGAAGATAAAATAAATGGTTTTAAAAGTTTCAGATTAATTAACGATCCTACACTAGGAGGAAACATTGTTACAAAAGCTCTACTTTGTATTGAGCACTCTTTTAAGAATAGTAATTGTTGGTTATTGGAATTCATTCCATATATACCAATTATATACTTATATATATATATATATATATATATATATATATATATATATATATATATATATATATATATATAATGGACTTTCGTATTGTGAACGATAAATGAGGGTCAGTAGTAGATGGTGCCTTTCGTTTTACACTTATGCATGCCAACAGGGACTATTAGAGAAAAT